ACGAATGAGATCTGAGTCAAGACAAGTGAATAATTACTTATTTGAAAACAATAACATTAACACAACCATAACGATGAAGACGAGCCATCAGTTACCGTCTGCAACGATTCTAATGTGATTCCTTTTGCTTCTAAAGAATATTTAGAAAGCCAGAATTTAAGGTACAAGCAATTTGTACAAAACACATTCTTTTATTTTCAAAATGGCCATTTTAAGTACAAGCTCACTCTTTAAAACCAATTGAGATAGTAAATGAATGGCTGTCATCGACCAACTTTTATATCCTACACTTTGAACGAAACACAAAGGACATGCTCTCTGAATCTAACTAACAGCAGTGTTTAAAGTCAATTAATATTTTATTGCCATAAGGAGTATAAAGAAAGGCGTCAATGACAACTGTTGCAATTTTCCAGTCGATCAATATACATTATGGCTGATGGTAGATAATAATTTTAAAATAAAGTGAATCCTAGCTATTGCTTTTTATAAACATCTTAAAAATACAAGGGTAAAGTGTGTGTAGTCACCACATCTTCCAAACACAATGGTAATGGTTGTGTAGTCAAAACATCTTCCAAATATAAGAGTAAAGTGTGTGTAGTCACATCATCCTCCAAATACAAGGGTAAAGTGTGTGTAGTCACAACACCTTCCATATACAAGGGTAAAGTGTGTGTAGTCACCACATCTTCCAAATACAAGGGTAAAGTATGTGTAGTCACCACATCTTCCAAACACAAGGGTGATGGTTGTGTAGTCACCACATCTTCCAAATATAAGAGTAAAGTGTGTGTAGTCACTACATCTTCCAAGCACAAGGGTAAAGTGAACTCCCTCAATTGTATCCTTGTATTAATGAGCCCATTATTAGATTGAAATGTACATGTAGATGTTCAGACACTTAAGTGTCATCTAAAACTGATGTAGAAACATATATTATATCAGAATTTAGAATAGTAAAAATAACTTTTTCCACTTTCCTGTTTCTAGATACAAATTATACTAGACTGGTCTCCAATCTATGGAATTTCTAGTTATCTCATACAGTACTCATTTGATCAGTTCTAAATCTTCAAAGAAAAAGTACTTAAGCTATCTATCTATAGTCCTGCAGAAAGAGGGTTACAGTCAATACTAAAAGATACATGTGCACATCAGTGTCAGTTCATCATTTCTCCTGAATATCAACATGACCCCAATCCTCCTGAGATAAAGAGAGAGAGAGAAATGGGGTTTAACGTTCACTAAACACAAACTAGGTCATTTCGGGACTAACACATGGTTCAATTTTATTTCAATCATTCGCTTGCGCGTAGGGGTCTTTAGCAGTGGGAGGAAACGGGAGGACCTGGAGAAAACCCACGAGGTTGGACAGGCGACCCTACTCCTTGTCTCGTACAACCGGGGAATCGAAACCCTGCCAGCTGACTCAATGACAGACTGTATGATACAGCACGCGCGTGCTAACCATTCAGCCATCCAACCCCCCCTGAGATAAAGAACCCTGTTGATATTCAGCAGACTTTCTGTTCCATAGATATATTATGTATCCGGAAAAGGTTGTGAACACAATAAAGATTATATTTTCAGTTTTGATAAGCTGCTGTACATGTATGGCTATATTTTATTTTGGGACATAACGGCTGTGTGGTCATATTAAATAATTCTAGAAATAAAAACTATGTGGTTCAAATTTTGTTTCTATATTTTATTTGGGACATAACAGTTGTGTAGTCATATTAAATAATTTCAGAAATGTGAACTATGTGGTACAAATTTTGTTTCTTAACCTCGCCCTGCGGAATTTAATTCTGTAGCCCACATTTGGTCTTTATAATTATAAATATTTTTCCTGACATTTCGATCTGGGGATATATCAATTTAATTGGATAAATATCAAGGCCTTTCATTACAATACAATCTGAGTTGAAAATGCCTGAACATTCAAAATACATGTATTTCGGTTTGTACTCTGGACTGAATCAGGCACACTTTACTTATTGCTCGATACATTTGGTCATCCAAACTCAGGCATTTCTGTGACTGACAGTACACTTTTGTCATCAGTCGTGACGTGCAGATGCATTCCGTTTTCGTGACTTATTTACTGAAACTAGTTTCAAATCTATGATTTCTGAAAAAGTTGGTTGGAGCTTACACAATTTAAGTTTGTTGGGAATCGTTATTTTCAGTGATTGATTACCAATTAAAACAAGTCATTTAGGTCATTCTGTGAATTGAGAATAGCAGTTGTCCATGGGGAGTGTCACTGTATCTAATTATGGTCAAGGAGTGTTAGATCTGTCATTGAGTCACGTGGCGTGGTGTCAATCTTTAAGGAGTAGGGTGAAGGGTCACATCAAACCTCATGGGTTATCTTTGATTTGCTCAGACAGCTAAAGATTCCTACGCTCAAGTGAATTATTGAAATAAAATTACTTAGTTCATGTTGAGTGGACATTAAACCTTATTTATATCTCCAAAAACACCTGTGGTTTTTGAATTGCATACGCCATACAGTGTGCTATGAGGGAAATTTTGCCCGGGCAGCGACGCTACGGCCTACTTTTATATCGAATTCCAACTGCCAAGGGATTTTTTAGGTGCTCGCCAATATGTACACGGGACCTCAGTTTTTCGTACCATCCGAACGACTAGACTGCTGTCCTTGTCAGGCCCTCTGTCCTGCATCACTGCAGTTCTTTTACATGCATGCCAAATACACACACACATTCCTTTTCCCATACCATTCAAATGAATAGATGCCTTCATCCTGCACCAAAGGGAAATCTGACTGTAAATCCCAAGAAATTGTCTTGGCCAACAACAAGATGGAACTGGGGATCTCCTGTTTAGTGGACCAGCACGGTTTCCGGAGATGGAAGTTTTTTGATTGGGTTCCCCTCCTCCCCATTTGGGTTCCGACAAAATTTCCAAAACGTGACTCGCGATTTCCCATACAGAACTTGGTAGCTCAATTTAGCTTCTCCAATCACCGTTATTAGCTCTAATGTGTTGGAATAAACCTTCTGAAATCGTGACCAAAACAAAGGCTCACCAGAAGTGAAATAAAAACTTCATGAATTATCGCCACGCTTACACTTTTATAACAAAACAAGCGGTTGGCATACACGATACGCCGAGATTCTGTAAGATATGGATAGGGAACAGGGAAAATCAATAGGGCCCAACCTCTCATTGTCCCAATGCCTCACATCGAATATGAAACTGTAGCCTTTATCGCGTTCACAAGGATTTTGGCAAGCCCCCGTCACTTCCACAAGGTTTTCGAGGGGGCTTAACTCCGGAACAGACGGTCGCAGAATGCTGATTATCAATATGATTCTTGCTCCTGTGTTCTCAATTCATTCACAATATAAAGCTCACAAACTTTGTTACGCTTTGTGTATGCAAGGCCATAATCCAAGCAGATGCACCAAAATCGAATTCAACCAAGATCTTTTGATCCTCAACATCTCAAACGGGCAAAGATTGAAACTTAAAGATTGACATTTGTATTTATAGCTGCGTATCGGTATCATTGGCAGTCCAAAGAAACGCCCAAAAGCAGACGAACCTTTACTGTAACATGCAGCTGACATTTACATACAATCCACGAAATTGAGTCGAAACCAAACGCAGTGATTGATGATCACAATGATTGTTAATGACACACTTGCTAAATTTCCTTATGCAATCTTTTCAGATTCACAAGGATACATAACATACCATGATATCATCTTTTCAAACCACGAATTTTAGATTCTTGAAGCACGGATTTTTCATTTCGAGGCACGTCCGTGTCTGTAGGCACGTTAAAATAGGCCCTGCACACAAGAATTTATGAAGAAAATTATGGATGTTACAAGAGATTGGTTTTAGATGGGAATATTGTCATTTGTATTGTGAAATTGTTTTAAAGCAAAGTTTAATGGTAAAATTTTAGAATTGGTTATATTGCTCAGTTTTGAGTAAATTGAAAGCTCTGATTTATAGTACCGGTAGATGACATCATGAGCTAATGTTAATAAACATTAATCGTTTAAAGGCATTTAATTTAGTAACTGGACGAGGAAAATGTTGAGAGAATACTATTCAAGCGTTGCCAAAATAAATTAATAATTGTTCTTCCATAATAAGTGCAGTAGAATCTGTCACTTCCGACATCGTAACGGATCGTTGAAATAAACAGCATGACGGAATACTTAATACTGGAAGTATTATTGTACCTTTTTGAATACTGGAAGTATAATCTTCTTGTATTTGGTGACAAAAATTAATAATTACGTTGCTATCACACAATGATCGGTCGGATAATGCTCTAAAAAAACTAACCGATTTCATCACAATTAAAAATGTTTTCAGGAGAATACTCTTCAATCAATAATAGATGGGATGCACATGCAGAATTCTTCAATGGTACCAAGATCAACACCCACAGTTTCGCAACTAAATTTAAAGGCACATTCTGTTGATATCAAGGTAATCAACAAAGACCGACACAAGCATTAATCTCACCGATAATCAAAATTGATTGGTGATTGCTCGTCAATCTTTTGTACAGATTAAAACCGACTGATTGAAGGCCGGATTATACAATTTTAATTCAATGCAAATCGTGTGATGTGACCGCTGTGATTGTTGTCGTAATTTATAATATTCAGCATAAGGATTACTCAAACCATTTTTGGTTAACGTAATATAGGAAATAAATGGGGACATGAATACGGATTTCACTGAATGCTGTACGTAGTATTCAGAAGCTGGATGTGACAAGAGTCCACTATATATGTTATTACAGTTTATTCTAAATAAATGTACCGCCACTGGTATTAGATACAGGAAGTAAACTGAGGGTAGAAACTAGGATACATTGTAACTTGAAGTTGACTGTCAACATTGGCCTGTATTGGTCGGCTGGTGGATGTGAAACCAAAGCAAAGTCAACGATGAACGGTAAGCGGCTTTTGTTTTCCGACTACTGTGTTACTTCTTACCTTTAGCTACGCAGCTTCCAATATCGACCATATCCTGGTTTTCTGTCATCTCGGTGTTCATTTGCCACCACCAAATATTAAAAAAGCAAATAAAACATTTGGAAATACTACATTTCTAAAGAATCACGCGACATTTACCTAATAATAATCTGTCACTTCCAATAAACACCGGAAGTAAAATAAGAGTTATTTTTAGGTAGGTGGCGCTTCTTTGCCAAAACAAAATGAAAGCGCACGTGTGACTGTTTATTATTATCAGAGATTGATTGAAGTATAAAATGCGCGAAACACCGCTTTCTACATGTGAAAGAGATTTTATTCTCAGTGTTATAGCCGATAGGAAAGTAAGAATATTCAAATAAAGTTGACAGCTAACTGTAATTTATAAATACGATGTATCTTGAAAGTTACATTGTAAAATGCAATGAATATACTTTACAAAATCTAGATCTAATTAATAGTACCCGGTACCTAGTCAAACAAAAATATTTAGAAACAAAATTTTAATGCTACTGGTCACCCCATGCATGGATATTGGATAATGTCCATGCACATCACGCCCCAGTTCCTTTAATTATTAGGAAATGTCCACTGACAGTTCCTATCCGTCTCAATATTATGGCGGGGTATCATGTTCAAAATGCAATCTAGAGTAAAAAGCAGAAAGTCAACAGTAAAAAGTAGAAAATCTAAAGTAAACGGGAAAATTCTTATCTAAAAGGGTATTTTTATGGTGAAAACCTAAAAATTTATGTACTTAGTCAGTAGAAACATCAAGCTTTTCAACTTTTAATCGTCATAATTCTACTTTCATGGACAAAATTTCTCCTTTCTACTATCAACTTTTGATTTCCGACTTTCCGCTTTCTACTGTCAACTTTTGACTCTCGACTTTCCACTTCAGATTTTCTACTCAGGATTTTCTAACGAAGATTTTCGCCAATACTATGGTGGCTGATAGTGGCCATGTAATTTTTCGCCATTTTCATAACCCGACAACACGACATAACGACAGTATTAGTGAGAGCATACGTCAAAGTAGACTTGGATATTATAGACTTTTGGCAAGCGTAAATTCCTGGTCCGCATCGCGTATCCGTATGAATTTTGTGTGTGACGTCATCAATGTGTGTGTATTTCTCATACGTGATACGGCACACAGATACGGCAGCACGTATCGAACAGCTTTCATACGGGAGGTCCGTATAACGTCGTCGTCTTTTCATCACCTTTTTTGCTACTTTTATACGCTGAAATGTTGTGGCATAGCGTTTTTATGAATCTATGTGTATCCTAGAACACGAAGGTGTATATTTGATGTGATTTTAACCATTATAAAGACGTGTTTCTAATCATTATTTTTTATAAGTTTTTCTCGGAATTTTCATATTTTTCCTGTTTGTCTGCATGCTGATTGATCTACATGCTAAATTTAGGGAGGTGTAAAGGGTGTGATTCTACCGTAAAGGGGTATAAACTTTCTGAAATGAGTGAAACCAAAAATTGCTGTCGAGTCTAGGCATTTGTGGCTAGGCACTTGACTAGCACTGATGGTGAACGTCTGTCAAAACTCTAAAGCCCGGCCCATACCGCCACGACTTGCCCAGACTCTACCCAACGCAACGTCTTGTCTCAGATAATCAGTGCAGTGTGGACAGTCCCACGACCACAATTCAATCGTGGTCAGATGCAGTTGGTTGCAGTCGTAACTTATCGTGTTTGTGTGGACACTCACACGACACGATCAATTGTCTTACTGATGTTTAGCCAATCAGAGAGTAGTATTTAGTCATGTGACTGTGCAGGTCGTGTGCTCCTTGTTTAACTGAGGGAAAATTCAAGATGGCAGATTTTTGAACAGAAGAGAGAGAGGATGGGTTGGTTTACATGTGGGAGGCACGCCCATGTCTCTACAGCCCAGCAAAATATAATGTCACTTTTATGCTTCCGGTTTACTTTTGGAATCACTCGCTAGAGGGAAGTGGCGTAACTCACGACGCATAATCTGTGGGAGTCGGGCCTGTGTGGACTGGTACCGTCGTAGGCAAGTGAAGTAGAGGCGCGACCCGATTTTTTTTTACAACTACCCAAGACACCGAGTCCTGTCGGCTTGTGTGTAGTCGTAGCGGTATGGGCCGGGCTTTAAACTACACTGACGCAACTTATCACGTATACGATAGGGATACGAAAAATTTCGCTTGCCAAAAGTCTATTATATCCAAGTCTACTTTGACGTATGCTCTCACTAATACTGTCGTTATGTCGTGTTGACGGGTTATGAAAATGGCGAAAAATTACATGGCCACTATCAGCCACCATAGTATTGGAGAAAATCTGCGTTAGAAAATCCTGAGTAGAAAATCTGAAGTGGAATGTCGAGAGTCAAAAGTTGAAAGTAGAAAGCGGAAAGTCGAAAGTCAAAAGTTGATAGTAGAAAGGAGAAATTTTGTCCATGAAAGTAGAATTATGACGATTAAAAGTTGAAAAGCTTGATGTTTCTACTGACTAAGTACATAAATTTATAGGTTTTCACCATAAAAATACCCTTTTAGATAAGAATTTTCCCGTTTACTTTAGATTTTCTACTTTTTACTGTGACTTTCTGCTTTTTACTCTAGATTGCATTTTGAACCCGATACCCCACCATACAATATAGCTGCAATATGAAGATACCGCTCTTTCCTTACCGACTATTTTTCACCCTGATTCTTCTTTATTCGGCAAAGGAATTATTTCTTGCCACAGCTGACACACATTTGTAATAGTTCTACACTTATTTCAAGTAGAATTCTGTGATTAAAAACATACACAAAATACGTTTGAACTGATCGACCATTACAAGACTCGTACATGCGCAGACCGCATGTTTATTTAATCGCTAAATTCTACTTCTTGAAAGTAGTGTTGAATTATTATAAATTTGTATCAAATATAGTGAGAAATGATTCCTTTTGGCAAAAAATAAAGATTCACAGTAAGGTAAGGGTTCCAAAACAGCCTGAGAACCGAGGTGCCAGTGAGTGGGGAAGAGCGATATTTTACCTTATTTTCATATTGCAGCTATATAGGAACGGATATGAACTGTCAGTGGACATCGTCTGCTCAGAGACAGTTCCTAAAGGAACTAATCACACTCTTTTTCTTTTTCTGAATTTAAAAGACATTTGGTAAATTGGACAAGATAACCTCAAATCTTATAAGCGCTAATCAATGAAACGGTTACCATAAGCCTATAGCTCACACAAAAGCATTCCATTCCTGTTAGTCATAAGATATATTGACCAAATGTACATCTTTAAAAAAAGAGCAATGCCAGATGAATTATTAATAATAGTTACAGTATATTGTGATTTTTAGATGGCTAAAATGTTGCACATTTATTGGAACACCATAACTTTGATTCTAAATGAGTGAGAGGAATAAAATGTGATGTATAGTTTCACTAGTGTACATCAGTACCTTGACTAAGATTGATCATGTGCATTTTATGCTCAGTAGAGATAAACAATTTCATTGCTTGATGCTTTACAAAGAGATAAATGTGCAATTGTTTAGTAATTATATGTGTCATCTATTTATATGGGGCTAAGACAAGTACCATTATTGAAACACTGCATGTTACCAGTAACTGATATTCCATAATTAATACTTTTAGAGTGTTACTATTGAGTTACTAAATGCCACTCAAAGAATTACATTAGCCTCACTGTTGGCTTGTTTCATCTATGTATTGTCAGTTATTATATATTTGTAATTTTTATTTAGAGAATAGATGGAAGACAGACATATGATTACAGAAAAATAAAAATAGTATTTGGAATTGACAGAGGATGTTGCAGCGTTGAATTGGGAAAAACAAGGTGTGAATGTCTTTTTTCTTACATTTTATGTTTACAATAAACGAGAATGACTGTAGTATGTTATCACAATAAAAATAACAATACTGAGAAAAAGATGGTAATCATCAAATTGGTGTGTTTATTATGTAAATTATAACATTATTATATTATCAAAAAAAATTGTTTATTATGTAGTTTTAATGCTGTTGATTTTGTGTAATTTATATGTGAAAGACTCCGATGTCTCAATATGCGCTAGGCATGACTACAATTAAAGACAATCTAATAAGTATGTTGTAGTTTATTAATATATTTCTTGTTATTTTAGGGTCTTAGCACAAGTATCATGTGAAGTAACAGAACCTCAACAGACCAGACCTACCGATGGTATTTTGTTTATGAATGTAGAGTTGTCTCCCATGGCATGTCCAAGTTTTGAATCTGGCAGGTAGGTGTGGAGAAGTGAAGCATGCTGTTTTCTATTAGAGACTAACATTGAGTCAAATAATACAATAAGAACAAAGCCAGCATCACAAATATATGCTCCAGATTATCCTTGGTTGACTAATATGACACAACACAAGCTTTACTCGTTTAAACAAGACATTTTAATGCTTGTATGTTTGTTACATATATATAGTTAACTCTGGTCTATGAAAAGAAGGTTGTCCAGTTATTATAACTACCCAGTATACTTAATTTCTTTTGTGTGTCACTGCTGACTAAATATTTGAGAGATAATCCTAGTCATGTGCTTTACATTTCAGCATTTTATTCTTTCATTTGAAACCTATATGTGTTTTAGTATAGTATATGTATATATGAAAATGTTTATTGTTACAGATTAAGTGATGAAGGTGTAGAATTAAACCGTTTGTTAGAAAGATGTATTAAAGAATCACGTTGTTTAGATACAGAATCACTGTGTATTGTAGCTGGACAAAAGGTATTACATTAATATTTCAAATAAAAAGAAATTTCAGTATCAACATATCAATAATAATTGTATTATTAATTTAAAGTAGCATTATGTAAGATTTAGATAAGAGCTGGTCGTTCTCACTGTAATATTTCAAAAATTGATAATGCAAAATGAATATATTGAAAATTTCATTCAAATTACTTTATTTTGAGCGAAGTTATCAATGGTTGTAGTTTTGACTTATAAGTGCATTGATCAGAACCACCGTACTGGTCATTCGGGTCTTATATTAAATTCTAATCTATTTAAAATCAGAGCCATCCGATGGTATTGAGCATTGATTATGGTCTTGTCATGTTAATTAATGTCTAATTAATAATTTATAAAACATTTAAGGCCCAAAGAAAGGCCTGCATTAGGCAGATTTAGCTCGTACATAATGCCTGTTTAACTAATTAATAATTACAAATCAGTGGTACATTGTCTTATCAAGACTACTTGTAAATAAATTTAAAACTCTCTACAATACTGAATCTGGGTTCATTTTCTCTACAATACTGAATCTAGGTTCATTATCTTGTATTAACATATCTTAACTATGCACAACATAAAGTGCAGATAGTTTCATCTTTAATTAACATGTCAGAGATGATGTTACAAGAGAAACTGTCAGTCAGTAGTCTTTGTACTTGTCCACAAGTTATTTACAGTGACTGACAGTTCTTGTTATAATGTCGGCACATTAATTTTTTTATTAAATAGAACTATGCACACTTTGGTAGAAACTTTTTTACTACTAGATCATGAATAAATTATAAAAAATCTCAAATCTAGAGTTTTTCGTTAATCCCATTCTATTTTATTTGATGAAGTAGATAACACTATTGTATCTAAATAATTATATGTTATAATGTTTTTGTAGGTTTGGACAATAAGAATAGATATACATGTGCTGAATCAAGAAGGAAATATATTGGACTGTGCCAGTATAGCAGCCATTACAGCTTTAGTTCATTTTAGGTACATTGTTAAAAAAATGATCAAACTTGATCAAATTTGGGGGATCACGTGGCTAAGTGGGTAAGACGCTGGCCCGCTAGTCTGGAGGTCAGGTGTTCGGTCCCTGCATTGGCGAGAAAGTTCATCCAGATTTTCCGGCGTGGTCTCCCCTTGTCAGTGATGCAGGATGGAGGGCCTGACAAGGACAGCTGTCTAGTCGTTTGGATGGGACGAAAAACCGAGGTTCCGTGTACATATTGGTGTGCACGTAAAAGATCCCTTGGCAGTTGGAATTCGATATAAGAGTAGGCCATAGCGCCGCTGCCCGGGCAAAATTTCCCTCATAGCACACTGTATGGCGTATGCCCGTCTTCAATAGCCCAGTTTAGGAGCAGAACAGTAGGACGTTAAACTTCATTTCATTTCATTTGATCAAATTTGTATATTTTTGTAATATTAGGTATTTAGGTATTTTTGAACACTGGTCAGGTCTAAACTTTGAAGATACTCCCTGTTTGATGAATTCTACTTTAGTTTTCAACAATACAGTATTATTTAAAGGAGCTAAATCGCTAATATTTGGGACCTAAAAATTGACACAAATGGGTCGCAATACATATAATAATGTAATATGAATGTATATAAACTGATTTACATTCAATCGTTTCCGTTTTTACTATAATTTCAAATCAATTATGTACGGCAAAATACGCCCACAGTCTCAATCAAATGGCAATCTCTACACCAATAGTATTTATTGCGTATGCTCTCCAGATAAGAACGTGGCGTCACTGTTTGACATGACTTGTGGAATATATGTCTAGCCTTGTTCTTTGAGTCCCGTGTTACATTATGGTACATGATTCGTGTACCGATGGTAAAATGTTTATCTTGTCTTAAATATTCAATAGCAGACGCCCATATCACAACATTAGTGGTTATGTAAATTAACAAATAATTTGTGTTTTCAATGTATGATATTGAGTTAAAGACTTAGCTACTTTAAAGTCGCTGATTGTCATTTGTATTTTTCACAGCTTAATCCACAGTAAAATGTATTCAGATTGATTATTTAACGAGATTCAAATTTCATTTTTTTGACCTTTGTCTGATTGTATTGAATTTATTATGATATAATCCACCATTGATGATTGTATTAATTTGTATTTATCATTTCAGACGTCCTGATGTAACGGTATCGGGTGAGGATGTTACAATTGTAAGTATATGGAATATTAAGAATGAATTAGCATACAATTATAATTTATTGCATATAGATTTCAGAAACTTTGGAAATTACCAATTTCCCAATAATCCTGTACAATTTCACTTCGTAACTCAACTTCTCCAATGTATGATTGGGTTCGCTCCCAGTGTTGGCGGTGAATGTTCATCGGGATTTTCCGATGTGGTTTCCCCTTGTCAACGGTGCAGAACAGACAAGGACAGCTGACAAGGACAGCTGTCAAGTTGTTTGGATTGGACAAAAAATTGATGTCCTGTGTACACAGTGGCGTGCATGTAAAAGATCCCATGGCAGTTTGAATACGATATAAGAGTAGACCTTCGCGCCGATGTCCGGGCAAAAATTTCCTCAAAGCACACTGTATGGCGTATGCCTGTCTTCATTAGCCCAGTCGGAGCAGAACAGTTGGATGTTAAACACCATTTCATTTCATTTCCAATGTATTGTTGTCAAGTAAAGGAGACAGTATAAAATTTATTTCTAAATATAGGTTTTGGTCTGTGATTTCTATTGATATTTATTTAAAATATTTTGTACCTTTTGAAAATTAATATTAAATTTATATTACAGCATGATTTAGATGATAGAGATCCAGTACCTTTAAGTGTGCATCATATGCCTATTTGTGTTTCATTTGCCTTTTTTGACCAAGGGTAAGACATTTTTAAATTATCATACTTTAGGGTACCCCACCACTAATACCTGAAGATGTACGGTACACTGCTGTACGATTTTCATTTGGTACACTTTTGAGCTAATCTAGCCTAGTTGGGGGTCAAGGCATTTTGGGCGTGGAATACCACCCCCATCACCAGAAACCCGGCAGACTTACATTCTGATGATACCAGATATACATACATTGATACCATATGGGAGAAAATTGGTACACTTTTCAGCTAGGTTGACCCCCTGGGCTCCCGGTCTAGAATATGCTTAAAATTTCATTTAAATTACTATATTCCCAGTGAAGTTCTGAGTGTTTGAAGATGTAACGTTAATTGTTTATTATCATAGCAACGGTACTGGACAAACAAGACTAAGTCTTGATCATCCATTTTATTGTTAAATTTTAAAAGCTTGTGGCATTTTGGGCGTGGAATACCACACCCACCACCAGAAACCCGGCAGACTTACATTTTGATGATACCAGATATACATACATTGATACCATATAGGAGAAAATTGGTACACTTTTCAGCTAGGTTAACCCCCTGGGCTCCCACTCTATTCATTTATCATTATCTGTTTTTGAAATATTTTAGCAAGAACTGCTGGCTCTTTATCTAAATCTTATATAATTCATCTTTAATGATACTAATGTTTGTAAAATATACTACTAAACTTTACTATATTTCAATGTTACAGAAAATTTTTATTAGTTGATCCAGAAAATGGAGAAGAGAAAGTAATGGATGGTAAGATGGTAATAGGAATGAATAAACATAGAGAAATATGTACATTACAGATAACTGGTGATATGTTATTACTTAAAGAACAGGTTAGTAATATATATGTCTGTGATATGGATGTTAGGCCTCATGAATGAATGGAAAGTATATTTATATAAATCATTCACAACGCTTTCTCAAAAAGTATATATACAGGGTTATCCAGGGCCTTATATAGCGTAGATTTTGGGGACTTATGACCAACCTCACATTGTAGGGGTTGGGTGGTCGAGGGGTCTAACGTGTACACTTTAGATCATATTGTCTGTCAAGTGGCAAGGTTTTGATCCCAATGCTTGTACATTGTGGAATCACCTGTCTAATCTCACAACTTTTCTCTGAGTTCTCCCGTTTCCTCCTATGTACAAGTGAATAATAGAATATAAATTGTATCATATGTAAAGCTGAGTTGATGTTAAGCCCCATTCTCTCTCTCTCTCTCCTATATATATATATATATACCATCCATATATATATATATCTATATATCTATATGTAGCGATGGTTAAAGTACAGTTTATATAATATGTTTATACAGGTATTAAGATGTTCTAATATAGCAGTGGTTAAAGTACAGGAAATATCTGAATTAATACAAACAGCTCTAGAGAATGATAAAACAGCTAGGTACCTCCTTTAATCTGTTACTTTTTCTATTGCCGATTATCTTTTTATTTGAAGTTTGACAGGGAATTTAGTGTTGGAACCTAAACTTATACTGAAGCTCGTCTTTTGGTGAGATCCCAGTGTAGTTATGTTTTTGGACAAGCACAAATAAAAAATACTTTTGAAATCAGGGAGCCAGGGTGGCTCAGTGGGTGCAACGTTTGCTAACCTGGCGGTCCCATGTTCGATCCCTGCGTTGGCCAAGAAAGTTCACCAGGATTTTCCGCCGTGGTCCTCCTTGTCAGTGGTGCAGGACGTAAGGACAAGGGACAAGGGATAGTTGTTCGTTTGGGACAAAAAACTGGGGTCCCATGTACACATTTGCATGCATGTTAAAGATCCCTTGGCAGTTAGAATTCAAAATTTCCTCATAGCACACTGTATGGCGTATACCCACCTTCCTTAACCCAGTTGCAGTAGGATGTTAAAACCCATTTCATTTCATTCCAAATTGAGTTCAAACTGGAGACATGTTTTTCACTTTGAATGAAGTGATTGTCACTGTGTTTATGTAAGTCATTGATATATAAAATCACTTGTGTTATAATTTGTATTTATAGATCAGAAGGTAGAAAGTATGGTTTTGCTGAATCTATAGAAAGAGAACAAGTAACAACACATCATACTGATATAACTAATGTAGACATGGAAGACATCACACAAACTAAAGATGAAACAATGGTTGAAGAAGACAACCAGGAACAAGAAAAGTATCTTTTTGAAATATTGGATTTTAATCATGATAGATTATAATAACTGGATCGAAATAATATACCTGAGTAAGAAATCTGCCATAGCCTCAAAGTTACAATCCAAAATCTTACTGTTCAGTAGGTAGTAGTTAAACATTTAAAATGTGGACCTATAACTTAGTTTTCGAATTGTGGACATAATATAAAAAATTGAAGTTTATTAAAATCGTTAGTGATTGTCGAAGGAACAAGCATACCAAGTTTGATGTGAATCGTACTTGATTTGTACGAACGTAAAACTTTTTACGAGGGGGATTGCCCCTATGAATAACAGCAAGATGAATAGTGTATTGAGAATCAGTTCCTGGTCTAAAAGTAGTACGGTAAACACAAAAATATCTTAGATAAGTCCAAAACTATGTTTATATGAAATGGCTATAGCTATCCTTTACATTATAACAGTTCGGAAGAAAATAAAGTAACCATTCTAGTAAGTATAAGTTGACTTTTGCATCCATAAATATACTCGCTAAGTTTCTTATGATTATAAACTAAATGATATGTTAAGTTTGTTTTTCATGTAAAAATTTCGTCACTTACATGGAAACTGTCCCATTTCATTTGCATTAGACCAAATTTTTCGCCGGCAAAAACATGCAGCAGCACAGAAAAAACAAGCACATGGAAAACAGGTCTTATCCTGATATTTGTTTCAGTATTTGATAATTGCATAATATCTTAACTAGAATTAAATATCGCATATTGAACTTGATACATCTCAAAACAATTTTATATTTGAAACTTGCATCAGTCATACTTCTAGAACATGTAAGTTTTCAGTATTCTGGTAGCGTAGTTCTAAGCAAAATGGTTGTAGTACTTTGTAATTGAGCTTGACTATTTACAGAATATGTTATACATAAGCTAGGATTTGGCTGTTAATTACTAATAACACAGAGATGATCTATTCCTGTATATTTACAAATATATGCTGAGGAATGTTGATGAGTGATTTTGTTATTGCTACGATTGTCAGATCATTGTCAAAACATCCAAATGATAAAAAAAACAAATTCTGCTTTACAACAGTAGTTTATATTAATTATTAATAATAAAATTAAATGATGATATGATGTATTTGTAGGAGAAAGGAACAGGTATTGTAGGTGAAGGAGGCCGTAATTCCTGGTTGATCAGTGATGATGATGAAGATGTTAAGATAGAACCATCCATACCTAACAAATCAAAAAAACACAAACAAAAGGAAAAGAAAGAAGGTGAGTTATAGGCAGTCATTTTATAGAGATAGCCAAAGTGTATGCTAGTGTTTGTGCTTTGATGTTATTAAGCAAACAGTCTCAAATGACCAATAAACATGTTTGAACTTTATTCAATTCACTCAGTCTATTACCAGAATATATCAAGGTATCAATGTATACAGATGATGCTTCACGAAGTAAGTTAACAAATTTATTTGTCCCCCACCTGTTGACAGTGTTCAATCCTTCGTATTTTCCACTAATTTGATCGGTTGAGACTTTGGAACACAATTTCTTTGGTTTTAATTGGGTGAGAGTGGTGAAACACTGAGTATAAATTCATTATACCAACACCTTGATTAAATTCGATAAAACTTTAAGTATAGATTTATTATATGAATACATTGACTAAGTTCGATAATGAGGATTTTCTTCTACTTAGGCTAAGTAGCGACTAACAAATTGATTGGTCAAGATTTTAAAATGTCACAACTCAGCTTTTAATTGCGGTAGAATGTTTAAACCTGGTGTAGTTCATAAGGTGAATCTCTTGACTGAGTTCAATGATTAACATTTACCGCTGAAGCTAAGCAGACCTAAGCATTTTCATTGGTCGATGCTTTGGGCCAAGGTAACTTTGATTCTAACTGATGGAGAGTGATAAACCTTGACTGAGTTTGATCGTGAACATTTTCTGCTTAGACAAAGACTAGATTATTAGTTTGATTGCTCGATACTTTTCAAAAAGATAAAATGTGCAATTAATTAGTATGTGTCATCTATTTATTTTAGTATAATGGCAGTGGCATCTGCCTCACTGCTGGCTTGTTTAATTACATTGTCACTTTTGTTTTATGCCTCAATTAATCCCTCAATTAATCAAAGAGCAGTGCTGGATAAACCATTTGGCAAATAAAGCTCATGCCTTAGGACCATCCGAAATCCAGGCCACAAAAAAATAAAGTAAAAAAAGTTTTTGATAATTATCAGGTGATGACAAAAATGCTTCCCTTCATTTTTATGTAAATAAATGGCATTCGTCTTCATCTAGGTCATAAATTGTCTGTTGTTAAATTTCAATTTCTTCCTTTTGTCGGTGAACCCAAAATATCTGTTTTTTCAGGCCACCTATCAAAGTGTGCCTTAGTTCAAGCAGAGGTGGGTGATGGATGGTCGAATGGTTAGCACATGCGTGTTGCATCATAAGGTCTGTCGTTGAGTTAACTGGTGTGCTTTCGATTTCCCGGTTGTACGTGATAAGGCGTAGGGTCGCCTGTCCAACCTAGTGGGTTTTCTCCGGGGCATCTGGTTTCCACCCACTGCTAAAGACCCCTACATGCAAGCGAATTATTGAAATAAAATTGAACCATATATTAGTCCCGAAATGACCTAGTTTGTGTCGAGTGAATGTTATACCCCTCTCTCTATCAGAGCCATAATCCAGCACTGGCAAATAGATGTAGTTATTTTAAAGATGATGATATATTGTGTATATGTTATTAATATATTGTGTATATATCTTGTAGCTTATTCATTTGGTGATGACAGTGAGGAAGAAGAAACAGTTGTTTTAGATGAATCAGATTTACATATGATTAAAAAGTAAGTCATCTGTCAAATTTATTACCATGGAACCTAATATTTAGAAATGAAAATGAAATGAAATGGGATTTAACATCCTACTGTTTTGCTCCGAACTGGGCTAATGAAGACGGGCATACGCCATACAGTGTGCTATGAGGGAAATTTTGCCCGGACAGCGGCACTACGGCCTACTCTTATATCGAATTCCAACTGTCAAGGGATCTTTTACGTGCACGCCAATGTGTACACGGGACCTCGGTTTTTCGTCCCATCCGAACAACTAGACAGCTGTCCTTGTCAGCCCCTCCGTCCTGCATCACTGACAAGGGAGAATCACGCTGGAAAATCTGGATGAACTTTCTTGGCCAATGCAGGGATCGAACACCCGACCTCCAGGCTAGCGAGCCAGCGCCTTACCCACTTAGCCACCGTGATCCCCTTAAAAATGAAAAACTTTATGCATAGAAACACAAGAAAGAAGCAAGTGCTAACTCTGAATCATCAAGACAATGTTATTTAAATATAGTACCTATGTGTGGACTTACAGGACAATATCATGGACTTACTTAAAGATCCTAGTGGCAAGTGGTATCAGATCTTCTGTCACAAGTGAGAATACCCTTTGTTGTGCACAACACCTGCTAGACGAATTATAGTTTTCTAGTGTCACTCAAGCAATATTCCTCCTATCAGGGTTACTTATTAATTGTTTTGCTGTGTAACTACGAATTATTATTATCTATCTTTATAAACTATAAATTAACTTGTATTTACAGAGTACCTGGTAGTTCAGATAGTGTAGATTTACAATCATTAAAACCTTCTAAATCTACACCGGGTAAAAAGAAGAAGAAAAGATAGCTACATAAAATTTAACAGATTTGTATTTTGTAAATAATAATAAAACAAATATTAAAAAGGAAATGTTATTTAGATTATTATTATTTTGTCCAAGTTGATGATTATAGGAAAATTGTAAACTGTTTCTGTCATAGTTTAGAAAAGGGCAAGAATTGCAATTATAGTGCAGAATTGCTTAGTGAAAGTGAGAATACCAAGTAGGGCAGCTGGGTTATGATGTAAATTGTGAAACTAACAATAAAAAGTGCCAATATATTATTTAAGCCTTTGTATCTTGTGACATGGATATATTTAAGTACAATGGTCATATCTTTATGTTAATTTACATGATACAAATAAATCATGGATATATTCCTTCAAATATTCTTAGCTGGTCCTACATATAAAACACCTCTGCACTGAGCGGTATTATCCATAGGGCCCATTGACAGTTATACTCCCAATATGCATTTTACTGAGGATTCTGGGGGGGTTACGGTGGGTAAGACGCTAGCTCGCTAGCCTGGAGGTCGGGTGTTCGATCCCTGCATTGGCCGAGAAAGTTCACCCAGATTTTCCAGCGTGGTTCCCCCTTGTCAGTGATGCACGACAGGGGGCCGGACAAGGACAGCTGTCTAGTGGTTCAGATGGGACGTAAAACCGAGGTCCCGTGTACACATTGGCGTGCACGTAAAAGATCCCTTGACAGTTGGATTTCAATATAAGAGTAGGCCGTAGTGCCGCTGTCAGGGCAAAATTTCCGTCATAGTACACTGTATGGCATATGCCAGTTTTCATTAGCCCAGTTCGGAGTAGGACGTTAAACTCCATTTCATTTCCTGAGGATTCTACTCGCACAATCAAGATATTTTGTCCCCCATCTATTAGGGACTATAAAAATTTGGTTTGTTCGTTTGTCCTATTTGTCCATCACATTAATGGGAACACAATATCTCGGTTTGTAATTGAGCTAGAATTTTCAATCTTGGTGTAGTTTATTAGATGAATGCACTTGGATGATGAACATTTTCTGACAATACTTTCGATTCTAATTAAAGGAGAGTTATGAAGTAGAAAAGAAATGGGGTTGAACATCCTACTGTTCTGCTCCGAATGGGCTAATGAAAACTAGCATATGCCATGCAGTGTGCTATGATTGGGGAATATTGCCCACACAGCAGTGCTACAACCTACTCTTATACCGAATTCAAACTGTCAAAGGTTATTTACGTGCACACCAATGTGTATGAAGGACTGGTTTTTCACACATCAGAATGACTACATTCTAAACCAACGACCAGGGGGGAACCACGTAATCTTGTGAACTGTCTGCCAACACAGGGAACAAACGTGGGACCTCATGGTTAGTGAGCCAATGACTTGGTCACCAAGCTACTGTTGATGAAACTCGGTATAATTTCAATACATCAAGTTGAATGAGCCTTTTCTGTTAAAGCCAAATTTGATACATACATGCTTTACAAATGAGCAATTACTATGCATCTTTGATTTTAGGAATCGGCATTTCACAACCTGGTTCTCCCCTTTTCAGTGGTGCATTACAGGGGTCCTGGCAAAGGACCATGTGTAGTCATTTGGAATGGGACAAAAAAAAAAAAAAAAATGAATCCATATTAGGTTGCCATTCAAACATTTTACAAAACAGTGAATACAATTCATCTGTTTAGCTGTCATCAACCCTTTGAACCCTGTACCCCGACTTTGTGAAACATTTAACCACAAAATTTAACTTAATTTTATCTCCAATTCATAGCCTTGGAATGCCCATCATGCCAACAGTTTTGAACTGCCTATATTGCGACCACGCCATATTTCAATTTCTGTCACCGCCAATGTAGATTATTGCTGTCATTGTTATTTTCATCTGAATCTAAGGCATATTCACTTTCATTGCCATAATTCAACCCATCAATATCTTTGGCGTTATGGCTCATTTTTACGACTTGCGCATCGTTTAGAACACTATTCAATCTAAAAACTTGCCAAAATTGAAATGTAAAAGTGGGAGGAAGTCTCTTTACAACAGACTCGTAGCAAATGGTTTAGGGCATTTTGATTGGCTGTTTAGATACACCCACAAGCTGCTAAACCGACATTTCAGGACTATGCACCACAACTTTAAAGCCGGTTTTGCGGCAGTTCAGGTTCTAAGAAGTTATAATGGAAAATATCCAAGTTTAGCTTTGTACACTTTATTAAAGGAATGCCATTTACAAAAGCTTGTCATAAAATCTACACAATACTAGTTTAAAGAGAATTCCCAGGTTTACACAGAACGCTGTAGAGTAGCACAGTTACAGCCGAAGGAAGACAGAAACAAAAGATGAGAAAACTAAGAAAATAGAAGAAACAGAAATTTTAACAGTTTAGTGTGTAAAAATGGGAAAACTCTGAAAATAAATAAACTATCCGACTTACAAAATTTGCACCGATAATTTATCCATTTTAAAAACAAATTAAATTAAAACTTAATCTTTAAAATTAATAGTGCAATTTTATTTACAGTGATTAAAAATTATGGTTTAACTCTGGATTTAATTCACTGATTTATAAATGTCTTGGTCCCATTCACTCACTCCATGCAAAAAATACAATCAAAAAATACATTCAAAATACATTCACACTATTAACATGATTAGATCATTTATTACAATGACCATCTTTATATTGCACTATTATAAAAACAATACCATAGTTTTAATTAAAAACAAATTCTGTTGATTAAAAAAATGATTTAAAATGATTGGAACGATTTAAAAAAACAAAAATGAGATTATGAATCCATGCATATTAAAATTTCGTGTCCTATGATTTGAATTTGGTGGGTCGGCTGTTGAAAGAACTGTGGTAGAACTGATAAGAGAAGCTGACTACATGGTGAAGGACAAACTGGAGGGAGGACTGATAGATGATACCTGTTGATATCTGGAATAAAATTAAACATAAGTTAATTTAACAAGAGCATTGCTAACGCTGCAATATACGTCCACATTCCAGCTTTGATTGATATGGTACTTTTTAAAATGAAGAGAATGAAAATGAAATGGCTGTAATATGATCAGAGGCAAAGAAGGCTAGGCGTCGGGTTTGTTTTGCCAAATTTACAGACAAAATACTAACAATAAAGTGGGTGTGACACTGCCCCAAGAGGTCGGGGCAAGTATCAAAATAAATTGTTGCTGTCTTTATGGTATAAGGAATAAATATGCAAAGTTCCAAGATGATCCATTCAGAATTGCAGTCTGTAGACGATAAATACAAAAACTGGGCGTGGCTCTGCCCATGGGGGTTGGATATGGAAACAATATAAACAGGTACCATTCTGTTATTGAAATGGCAACATCAATAGTTGCCGTCCTTAGGGTATAAGGAATAAGTACACCAAGTTCCAAAATAATCCTTTCAGAATTGTGGCCTTTGGGCGTTAAAGGCAAAAATTGGGCGTTGCTCTGCCCCTGGGCGTTGGGGCATTCACCAAAATCAATAGTTGATGCCCTTAGGCTATAAGGAATACATATGCCAAATACCAAGTTGATCCATCCAGAATTCGGGCCTGTAAACGATAAACATAAAAATTGGGCGTGACTCTGCCCCTGGGGGTGTGACATGCAGTTGTCGTCCTTAGGCTATAAGGAAAACATATCCCAAGTTCAAAGACAATCCATTAGGAATCGTGGCCTGTATGCAACTCACAGAGACACAAAGAAAACTAGAAATGGGCGTGGCTCTGCCCCGGGGGGTCGGGCATGCACCAAAAACAATAGGGATCTTCCTTGGGGTATAAGGAATAAGTATACCAAGTTTGAAGAAAATCCATGAAGAATTGCGCCCTGTAGGCGAACCACAGACACACACACACACACACACACACACACACATACACACACACACACACACAGACAGGGGCGACGGCATAATACGTTCACATTATGAATGTGGACGTATAAAAATTAGTTTGTACATAGTGGCAGGATAGCCATATAAATTATAATCAATGTATTTAAGTCTAATGGCACCATTTAGCCCAATAAGATCACATAGCTCAAAGTGGCCTCAGTAGGATTACCGACTGGCATGACAATGAGATGCCTCAATTAGTGAATCTGTACATGAAAATTAATTGTTCGGTTTGAAACAGACGACCTTTGGTTGCACGATTTTCAAATAATAGTCAAATCTGTTTCGGAATGGTATTTAAACCATGTAATGGAGCACTATCGGGCTACTTATAGTGTACAAGACAATCATGTGGATTAATTTGTCTGAGGTCTGAACAGTATAAAATTGCCGATTGACCTTGCATTATCAACACCCAAAGCTTACAAAATGACTGGCTATATGAATGTAAAATTCCTCGTCACAGGTCAGACATTTTTAGTTAGTGTCTTGACAGTTGAAATATGTAAAATAAACTTACTTTGATGACTTGTATTTTTCTCTAATGGCTTGTTGTGGATGATTTGGTGCATTTAAATATGTCTGATACATTTCTTGTAAACATTCAGAAAATTCACTAATTTCATACTTTGATTCTTTGGCTAAACTTGAAGGCTGAAATATAAAATTTAGCAAAATTAAAATATGGCACCAAGGTTACAAGACAAAGAAACAGTGAATTATTCTATCTAGACCAAGTTGCAAATTGATTGTAAAAAGCATAAACAAGTTTGGTTCCAGTATGCAAATCATGCCAAACGTTATGGACTACACTGGAGAACATATTGGATAACAATGTTCATGGATTTAGCCCAGGAACAAAGGAAACAAGGTTTAACGTCGGTTCTGCTCCGACTGGCATATGCTATGCAGTGTAGCCCAGAAACATGAAATGAGCATCAATTTTAGGGTGGCAAGATGATTAATTTATGAGGACAAATAGCATCAAAATTTGTAAATGAGAATACATACCCATGGTTCACTGCCTAATGTGATATTTGCTAAACATAAAGATGCTGCTGCAATTGTACTGGGTAAATATTTTAAATAAGGGTCGGCATCCACTAATGTTAGTTCAGATAAATACTGAAATATAAAAAAAATATAATATAATTAAATGCATTAGTGTTTTCTGACTACAAAGTACAATACTGTAGGCGGTTTAACTCAAATATTTTTTTGGAAACTCCAACAAGAATTCTCTCTATGCAATACAATTCAACATGTTCAGATATCTGAATCTGAAGTGTGGCCATTTTGAAATCCAGTTTTAAAATTGTAAAATGGGAATTTGTTAATAAGCAATTAAAGATTTATAGAACAGAAACACACCATAGATAAAGATTTCGTTGTTTCATCAGTATCAGCCATTTTTGCGTAGGTATCGGTAAACCAGTTTATCGTAGGTTGAGCTACATCAAATGACAAGACCTTCAATATTAAATGTTCCATACGGAGGACTTGTTTCTGTTCATAGGTATCATCAGTAATGTATACAAACTCGGAAACCTCTGGTGGGTAAATTTCTTCATATTTCCTGAAGAGAAAATATTTTACAAGTTAAAAAGCTTAAATTAAAAGCTTAACATACATTATGCAAGAGCTAAATCTGCCTATTGCAGGTCTTTCTTAAGGCCTAAAATGTTATATCTAGCCTGCGATGTTCATTGGATTTGGTTCCGATTTGCTGTTCGACTTCCATTCTTAATTTAAGCACGAAATTGATAATCGAGACCGTTATCCTACCGACTTCAGTAATGATGATTGAGGCTAGGACGAAAATTCAATCACTAAAATCTTGGTTCATAGTAGATCAATGACTGAAATTCTCAGCAAATTCCCTTTACAGAATACAGTTACCGGTATCTAGTTTTAAAACTATTATAGTGAGAACTGTCAACTCTTTATCTAATCTCCCATAATGTATTTTTAAATTCATTTCGCTTGAACAATTTGTGAGTAAGTTGCCCAGATAATATGCGCTATAAATACTTTCAACACCGGCCATAGTCTCAAAACAGTTATTGAAAACTCCTGTTCAACTTAACTGATCAGCTTTTTTTTTTTTTTTTTTTAAAATATACCAATACTTACGATGCAATAAACATACTAGCTGCTCCAACAAGTTGTAATTTGCCTCTTAATACAGACATTTGTGAGAGGAATCTGTCAATATAATTTATAGCTAGGAAAAGGGTTTCTCGATGTAATTTATATTCTTCCGAAACTTCAACCATCCAGTCAACCAAAATACTTCTCATAGAATTTGTTATATCTGGTTGTTTCTTCATGTAGCCGGGCTTAGAACGGTGTCTCGACTGAAATATACAATTTGAATTACTTAATTTAAAGATATTCCTACAAAAGTATTGTATACAATTTATATGGTAGTTATTTCCAACAAAATTACAGCATATTTGGTATATAGGCATATGAAAATCATCCATGGAACAAATGCAAAAGGTATCCCCAAATGACAGGGTAAGGAGGGCATCTTATGTAATGATTTAATGGCCAACAGTTGTGAGTACATTTGAGAGAATTAAACGTCCATTAAACAGATTAATATAAATGGTGGAAACAAATTTGCATGGGATAGGCCTACTCCAAGAGTTCGCAAGGACAGTGACAAGACAAATGTACTGTGACATCATGGGTCAGTTTTCTAAAATATTACAGAAAGTTTTTCTAAACAGACTTTAGCCAACCAGCAATATATTTGATATTGAAAAAATTTGGGAGTTTCTGGAAATCTTGTCTGCTAGGCCTACTTATCAAATTGATTTATAAGCATACATGTTGATAGACATCTAAAATGGGCACAACCATGCTATATTTACTTCAGAAACTTGACCATGTTGAGGCTACAAGATGGCCATTTGATAAATTTACTGATTAGCATTTAGATGCATCATCAAAAGTTTTTATACCTCTGCTTCTCTTAGATGCTTATAAATATCTTCTGCATATTCTGGAACTGAAAGGATAATAGCTTCTCTATCAATGGGTTTCTTTTCTGCATCTTCAATAGTAACATCCAATACCATGGGCGAGCCTGTAAAAGATTTAATGCTGGTCAAATTGTGGAAAATGGGGACATACAGTATCTAGTAAAAGCTTGGGAAATATTGTTAATAAATTTAAGAGGAAGGTGGGGGCTACATGCATGCATTTCTCAATTCCAGTAGGCTTATTAGGCCCTAGATCTCATCCAAATTCACAGAGAACACTATATACTTTCTTCCACATTTTAAAAAACATCATACCATTCTCATTGTCTACTTGGATGTCTTCTAATGCTTGTAAAGATGGTAAAGATGTCACTTGGTCATTTAATTTTATGTCTTCGTCTTCACTTTGTCTTGTAGTTTTCAATGTAGCAGTTGTGAGTACCTGTACTGTTGGTTCATCAACATGAATTTTAAATCCTTTGTTTTCATTGTTACTAGATCCAAAAGACTTCTGTTTTGCAAAAACATTTTCATCCTGGCAATCTGCATTACCCGACTGAAACATAAAATATCAAAATCAATTAGAATCTAGCATTTAAAGTTAGGCTAGACCTACTATTCATTTTGTTGGTCGTGCCTTCATTTTATTAGCTTCAACTTCAAGTTCAAAATGAAGGTTCGTTGGTTGTTCGACCGAATTAAAATTCAAAATGAAAGGATCTAAGGACATAAAAATGAGAGACAAACAATATGCTTTTTACGTTGATTAATAATTACCGTATTCTATTAATTCTAACGCTTTCGGGTCAGAAAATAAGGCGTGAGGCCATTATATAACAATTTCAAAAAGTTGATTCTGTGAACTTCGTCAAATGAATGAAAGCAGGTGCTCGTTTGAATGAAGAAATATTCAAATTTACTCACCTTTGCGGCCCTTGATGGTTGTACTCTAATATTTTGGTTCGTTATTGTTCCCAGTGCTGATCGTTTGGCAACTGCTACATTTCCACGGGCAGTCAATCCAGCTTTTTTCACTCTTTGAACACCTTGATTCTCATTTTCACCGTCCTGTGCAATTTGAAACGAACTCCCGTGAACCATAGACATTTTGAAATCAGTTCCGTAAGAATCTCGCTGCAATAAATTTTTGCAAACGAGCAAATTAATAAAAGCCGACACAACTTTCTAAAACAAATAAATAAAACAAGTTTCAAACTAAAATCTTTTTCTGGTTCCGGGTGTGCTAGTCAAGGTTGAAGTGAACAGACCAGCTTTTAAATAAACGCTCTGTCTGTGTACTGTATGTATCGATGTTATTTCCTCGACGATCCTTCCCGTTGAATTACCCGCTGTAGCTCAAACCGACCAATTATAGCCTTGCATTAGTGGTCACGTGAATTACAACCTCGTACTGACCTTAGCTTGTTAGTGACGACATCAAACATATCTTCATTTCCACGTGATCTTGTAAATACTATCAAGTTGTAGTTATTACAACTCTGACGTAAATATCCTATGTTTATTTACCTCGAATACTTCTTACACACTGATCTCAATTCAATATGAGATCTTCATTTTTTTAAAAAAAGAAAACAGCTATTAGCCTATCGCATGTTGTAGGCTACTAAATAGCTAATCACGCTGAAGAAGATAATTTCAACTTTCAATTGTTTAAAGTTTTAATGTATATTATACTTTATAGGCCCTATGGGATAGACCATCTTGGTTAAGACTCTAGTTTTTTATTAAATTAAAATAAGTTTATTCAGAGGATATTTTCTGTTGTGTAGGTTAGACCTATCAAATTATATTCTAAAGGACCCACACATAGAAATATGGACCCACATTCTACCTCTCCGCATGCAAAAACTGAATGACATAAGAAAAATAATAAACGCGTAATAGACGTATAAAATCTGCGAAAATTATATTAGATTTAAAAAACTGAATGGCTTCAGAAAAATAATAAGTTTTAAACGCACAATACAATAGACCTTTAACATCCGAGAGAATTATATGTGATCTATATAGGCCTAGGTCTTAATGAATAATATTTAAAAAAGCGAAGAGCACTGTGGCGAAGGCAGGATAGTTGGTTAGTAGAGGCGGGCCTAGAATAGTTGGTTAGGGGGTGGAGGGGGTGACCTCCTCCGAGAAATTATGAAAATTCAGGGTGTCAGTGGTCATCTCTGCAGCATATCTGGACCCGAATATAGCATACAGAATAAAAATGGGGGGGGGGGGGGCTTAGAGAGAGAGATAGAGTGAGAGAGAGAGAACAGTCTGGTAGAATAATTGAAAGACAATGTAGTAAAGTATCGGGCTTAATTAATTTGACCTAAATTCGATTCATTATACATTGCAAACGATAACAAAGACATTGATGACATTACTATTTTTAATTACCCCTAATTAACATAGAACACACTTATCTGAATGGCCATTATTCTATTATTTTTTATGATCATTAGACCCAATAATGTTCTTCATCTCTACCGCAAAAGTCGTTGCGTCTTTTTGTCTAAACAGTTACGCAGGTAGGCCTATAAGAAATAGCAAAAGGTCAGAGCTTCACATGTGATATGTTTTTTTTATTGGAAAACATAATTTTAAAGATCCAGTTCTACATTTGCCTACATTTGCAGTGCACTGCATGTACTTATTTATTTTCCGAATTAATGGAGATTTTTCAATTTCAAAGTTGGAGTAGCCTAATTCTTATAACCAAACGAGAATTTGTGCGGTGCAAGCGCGAGCGAAAAAAGTAGAACCACATGAAGGTTACTTATATTATGTATCTTAGACAATATATATACATCGCACACGATACGAAATACGCATGTTAACAAAAATTGAATTAAACTGAAGCGATGTCTCATGTGGCAATGACACAAAAACCAACATAAATTCATTTATAATGATAAAAAAGGTCTAAGTATAAGTTTTGCATATCTTGAACATGGCGGTAACAACTTCAAAAGCTTCAAAACTACGAAACAATTACCTTCAAGTTCATAAACAGTTGAAGTTTTTGATTCAAGTTCAAAACTCCATAAATTTCAACAAAGTGCGTATATCTATATGTTAATAACAAGCGGGGTTACATCAAAATCAACGAGAAACTGTAAAACTTTGACTATTAATAGTAAGTGCAGCGGGACTGCACCACACAAGGTATACACAAAAAAAAAAAAAACAAACAAATACACGGATAACACAAACAGACAAACAATTCAAAAACAAAAAAAGTAAATTGATCCGGGGGCTAGCCGTAAGCGTCCACTGCGCTGTACAGTCCCGGGTCTGTAGTGACACAGACTTCACTCAAATTTGAAAACAATCAGGAATACAAGACTTCATCAGCAAACAATTAAATGAAACATTCTCAACGAATTCATAAGTTTTTGATTTCACAAATTCATTAGACTCAAATTTACAAATTGCAAAATCTTGTTATACACCTTAAATTTAATGGGAAGTTTACAGAGATTTCATGTAAGAATTCTTGATTTTACAAATTCATTATTCTCAAATTAACACTCAACTGGAATGTTCTAAATTCTCTAATCATCCAAATAAATGTTATAAAATAATGAAACAACACTCTTAAGATATAGGAGATGCGCGCCTATTATGCGAGTTTCAAGGCAACCTGGCAAAAACTTTTTACAATGCTACCATATGTAATTTTAAGTGGTTAATTTATTTTTGTTGATGAAAAGCTGTGTATTGAATATGTTTATTAATAACACTGTATTGAATATTATGTTTATTATTACAGGCTATTATATATCTATTATGGTACTATAGTTTTTACAAGGACAGCTGTCTAGTCCTTCGGATGAGACGAAAAACCGAGGTCCCGTGTATGTATTGGAATGCACGTAAAAGATCCCTTGGCAGTTGGAAATCGATATAAGAGTAGGCGATAGTGCCGCTGCCCGGGCAAAATTTCCCTCATGGCACACTGTATGGCGTATGCCCGTCTTCATTAGCCCAACATAGGAGCAGAACAGTCATTTCATTTACTATAGTTTATTTTAAAGTGTATATATACATATCATATACAGTATCGTGTATTGTATCATGTTTACTACGAACTGTGTATTATACATGTTTATTACGAATTGTGTATTGTACAATGTCTATTACGAACTGTGTATTGTACCATGTTTAGTATAAACTGTGTGAATTACCCTTGTCTCTGGCATAATTATGTTGTACATATTGTAATATATTTATCATAAACTATGTATTACATGTATATTTATCATAAACTATGTATTATGTTTATCACAAACTATGTATATTTATCGTTAACCATGTATTGTATGATATTATCACCTTTCATCGGTTTTCCTTGTGAAATTGCTACCTTCCTCCCATCCCCAAATATAAATAGTAGATTGTCATTAGAATTTTCCCATCTTTCTTGGGTTTGATTCGCTTCGTGTTATTCTTAAATTTATTAATTTTAAAATTGATATCCAAATACATGAGGGTGGTTGGGTGGCCGAATGGATAACGCGTGCGCGTTGCATCATAAGGTATGTCATTGAGTCAAATGGCGTGGTCTCGATTCCCCTCTTGAACGTGACAAGGTGTAGGGTCGCCTGTCCAACCTCGAGGGTTTTCTCCGGGTCCTCCAGTTTACTCCCCCTGCTAAAGACCACTACAAGCAAGCAAATTAATGAATTAAAATTGAATCATATGCTAGTCCCGAAATGACCCAGTTTGTGTCGAGTGGACGTAAAACCCCCATTCCTCTCTCTCCAAATACAGGAATGGTTATGGTATTTTCCTTCAAGGGTTTTCCTTCAAGGGTCTCCCCCAGAGCAAGACACTGGAAAAGCTTTGTAGGTGGTTAGTAAACATAAAACAGACTAATAAATTGATGAAATTGAAATTATTAGGTGGAAGTGGGCGGTGCACCTTGATGTAGCAGATGTGATGAAAGTTAACACACTCCATTTGTCAGAATCAAATGTGGTCGAAGAGGTAATTACAACCAAATTACAATTTAATCGGCGTGCTGGGGAAACATGCCGGCTGGTATTTGGTAGAAAGTGTTAGAAATAGATCTACATGGTGATATCTGTCGGTTTTAATTTATACATGTATAGTCTAACTACTCAATAGATGGGGTTCTCCATTTCACCTTCAGAGTCCACTTCTGCCAAGAGTCGCACTTCTCTGGCCCTTTACGAGATTCCAAAATTGAAGACTTCTCCTCCAAAAACTTCAAGTTATCACTTTTCAGCCCCGAATAAAATATTTTCTTTGATTGGCATTTAATAATTGAAAAATTGATAAAGATGAGAGTATCCTCGTCGAAACGTCGCTAATATCGTATCAAACTCAGTAATTGTGTATCCATAAAATTGTACCTTATTGTGTGAATAAAATATTGTTTTAAAAAAAAGCTGGATAAATGAAGAGGTGGTATGAATGCCATATTAATCAAGCCTGTTAAATCATCATTAGAATTTAAAAAAAAAAAAATAATGTTTTAATCCAAATTATCTGAGTTTACAACATAATACCAGTTTTTGAAACAGAGGTGCTAGTATTATTTTTGTCGGACAGTTATATGGTCGATAATATACTTGACCCCTCTGCACGCTATTGGTCTTTTAACGTCTGCTTCCAAAAGTAATACCGCAGACACATATTTGATCCTAAGTTTACTTTAAATTGTCGTTGATTGGTTTGGGATTGATTTTGAATGCTTTTGTCCTTTGTTAGTGGCCACCATTCGCTTGATAATGGTCAAATTCAAATGTCGCCATGCATAATTGGCGGGAATTGGTGCTTGTGAAACTATTTTGAGTATCGTTAAAAACGACTGAATCAAATTTATAGCAAAACGATGCTCAATAAACAAATATAATTTGTCGTTGAGATTTGTCGAAAAGGCTCGTTATTGGAACTAGCACGGTCACGATGACCTTGGGATGACCTCATCAGGATTAGAGAAGATGGGGATGAGGATAAGAGATACCATATTTAAAACATTGCCTCATCTCTATTTTATATCCCCCTCCTCACATTCACTCAAGAGGTTTCATTCATTATATTCAATTTGCTTAATCTTTTACAACTCTAACATCAAAAAGAAAGCCGACATTGGAGTTTTCACGTATGGAGCCTTTGGCCTTTACTTCAACGAATTAAGTACAAAAGTCTATTTGTAACAGGTTTACTGTAAGGGTGTTAAAACTATCCGAATGGAAAAATGGACTGTTGATGACTTTAGTAGTTGATTGTGTAATCGACTTTTCTAGTCGTTCTCGCTCGTTACCCCTAATTTAAGCGTGCCCTCCCCATGGGCGAGCCATAGGGTTGGTGTT